CACTTTTGTTACTGATTTGATTTTAAACTGTGCTACATTGCAGGCAGCAGAATTTTGCCATGTTAAATCAACAAAAAGATTAAATGGGCTGTTTGCCATTGTAAATAGCAGCTCTAAATTTAGTAGTTTAAATGTTAAATGTTATTTGCTTTTTCCTTCAGTTTCAACCCTTTTCCAATTACTCATTTGGTCATTGTTCCGGTGATTAACAAGTCAATATCAGGGTGCCATTTCAAACACCAAAGTAAAACAAAGGACTGCAGACACTGGAGATCCGAAACACACACAAACAAGAAATTGCTGCAGCAATTCAACAGGTCTGAGAGTATCCACAGGGAGATAACAGAGTCAGTGTTTTGAGGCCTGCTGAGTTTCTCCAGCAACTTATATTTTTGTGCCATTTCAAACAAACTGAAATAATGAGTCATTTTGCATTGATCAATGAAGAAGTTGTTCACATCAGTAGAGTATAAAAGAGCAACTGCATCACTAAAAAGAACAAATTTACATTTCTATAGTACCTTTCAGAAGCTCAATGTCCCCAAAATGCTTTACAGCTATGGAAATACTTTTGAAGCATGGACACGCTTGTAATGTTGCAAACACAGCATATTATTTGCAGGCAACCATATCCCACAATATCAATTAGACAACAGCATATAATTATAGGCTCCCTACCATATGCAAGGAAGCCAGTCAGCCCATTGAGTCCAGAGATAACAAGGTGTAGAGCTGGATGAACGCAGCAGGCCAAGCAGTATCAGAAGAGCAGGAAAGCTGATGTTTCGGGCCTAGACCATTCTTCAGATTTCTGATTCTGATTTCTGAAGAAGGGTCTGGGCCCGAAACGTCAGCTTTCCTGCTCCTCTGATGCTGCTTGGCCTGCTGTGTTCATCCAGCTCTACACCTTGTTATCTCAGATCCTCCAGCATCTGCAGTTCCTACTATCTCAGCCCATTGAGTCCACACTGTCCCTCCGAAGAGAATCCCATCCAGACTCACCTCTCTACCCCATTCCTGTAACTTTGCATTTCCTGTGGCTAATCCATTTAGCCTGCACATCCCTCGACACTATGGGTAATTTAGCAGGGCCAATCCACCCAAACTGCATATCTTTGGACAACAGGATTGCCCATTTTAGAAATGAATGTTGGTCAGGACAGCAGGGAAACAGGTTCTTCTATGTACAAGAACATGGGATCTTTTGCACCCAATTGAAGCAGAGGGGCCCTGCTTTAATATTTCATTCCATAATGCAATATTTTCTTAGGACTGCACCAAAGTGCCTGGGTTATGGCAGCTGAACATGGGAACACGACCACTTTCAACTTTGCCTCCAAACCATTCACCATCCTGACTTGGAAATATATCTCCATTCCTTCATTGTCACTGGGTCAAAATCCTGGAATTCCCTCCTTAAGGGAATTGTGGGTCAACCCACAGCAGGTGGACTGCAGCAGTTCAAGAAGGCAGCTCACCACCACCTTCTCAAAGGCAACTAGGGACAGGCAATAAAATGCTGGCCCAGGCAGCAATGCCCACATCCCACAAATGAATACAGAAATGGGCAGTAATACCTGGAGTGGGTCTTATACCCATGAACATTTGACACAAAAAGCTGAAAATGCTAATCCTGAGTTATCTTACCACTTGATTATAACTCCCAATAGCCTCCACTGTTCCCAAAGGAAACAAATTTAGCCTGGTTATCCTCACAGCTAAAATTCTTCTGTCCTGGCAACATCATTGTAAATCTCCTCTATGTTCTCTCTAGTGCAATCACTTCCTTTGAAATGAGGTGAGCAAAACTCTATGCAGCATTCCAGCTAGGTCATATTGCTCTGTTATACAGCCCCAGCATAATCTCACTGCTGTTATCTCTAGTCTCAACCACCAAAGGAAAGTAATCCCTCTGACTACTTTAACTACCTGTCCTATGACCTTTCAGAGTTCTGTAAATGTATCCAAGTCTTTTCTTAAATGCAATGGAGGATTCTGCCTTTGTAACTCTCTTTTTTTCAGTCATTTATGGAACATGGGCATCACTGGCTGGCCAGCATTTATTGCCTATCCCTAGTTGCCTTTGAGAAGGTGGTGGTGAGCTGCCATCTTGAACTGCTGCAGTCCACCGGCTGTGGGTTGACCCACAATGCCAATAGGGAGGGAATTCTAGGATTTTGACCCAGCGATGGTGAAGAAATGGTGATATACTTCCAAGTCAGAATGGTGATGGCCTTGGAGGATAACTTGAAGGTGGTGGTTTCCCACATATCTTGCTACTCTACTCTTTCTGGAATACTATCATTTATTGCAGAGCTATGTAGTTTCCTTGCCTTGCCTGTCCTCCCTAAATTTCAAGTGTTGAGATGGTAATCTATAATTATCAGCAGATCCTGTTAAATATGCTACAACATAATCTGGCCCCATGTGTAGCAAAACCCACATAAGACATACTTCAGTATCGCAGTAAACCTTACATGTAGACTAGGGAGAGGAATGAGAGGGTGTGGAATGCCTTGGGAAGAGAAGTGTCCCTTTGTTTCTAGCATTTCTTGGAGCTTTGTGGTGTGGAAGTGGTGAACTTAGCAAGTTAGGTTTTGTTCCAGTTCTAAAGAAAATGTGTGATACTGAATTTGGCTCTTGGTCCATAACTATCGTAGTCAATTCTTAACTCAGCCTTTTGGGAACTGCACAGGCTAAATTTCTGTACAACTGGAACTGGAACAAAACCTAACTTGCTAAGTGTAACTGATGTTATATTACATTAATGTGCAGTTAATGATTAAACTAATATCCATGTAGCCACAAGGGCACATCAAGAGTAAGTAATTTTGAGTCGTGTAGATAAGACATTGGTGGGTCTTCTCCTTGAGCTGCTGCAGTTTTTGTTGTGGAGTTGGATGGGGAATACCATCAAATTGACAGTATTAACAAAGGAATGTGATTATATCTACAGATCCGCATGTTGTACCACTTGGAGGAGCATCCAACATTATTCTGGTACGATATTTCTGCTCTGTTTTTTGCCATGCTAACAGACATAAGCACCTTGGTGAATTGTTGCAGTGCATCCTGTAAAATATACACATTGCCTATTCTCCTGTTTTAAATACCTTGTATTTAATCTTTTATCTATGTCATCTTCCTCTTGACCTCTCAAACATATCTATCTATTCTTTCCCATCTTATTTCATAACCACTTCTTAATTTGCTTTGTTCTAACAAATAAAGGTCTATTTTTCAAGTTTAATTTTTGCCGTTCTGATCAGGACCCCAGAGAAAATGCTCTTTCTAAAGGCTAAGTAAATATCTTTCTTTGTAGTGCAGTACATAACATTACACTTGCACTAATTGAAGTCTCAACATGGTTTTAAATAAGCTCATTTATTACCTCTTGACTTGAATGTTCTACATCAAAGTGATAATGCTCGAGATCAATTCATCTTCTTTTTAACAGTTTTACTACCCTGAGAAGATACTTTTATTGTTCTGTGGACTTGTACCCCTCAACTCTTTCTTCTATTCCTCTGCTAGTGCAGAGGTAAATTCCAGTAGATGTACAGACATGTTTTTGATTGGCCTGCTATTGCCAATAGCAGGCCAAATATGGTACTATGTATGTTTTGAATGAATCTCTTTGCTGCCAGACCTTTGACATAATCAGAGACTTGGAGCTGTGCAATGAGAGACATTTACAGTGAACTATCAGTAAAACTACTAAATTGCTTGTAGCCTACTTGGATTCCTTTGATACAGGGCCAACAGTTCAAGGCATTCTGTTTTATTTCACCCTGAATATGACAAGAATGTTGTAGATCAAGATTGAGAGGTGTGAACAAGAAAACAACAGCTGTTACTGCAGGAAACAAGCAGGCTATCGTAGATCTGATTTTCACCAAGAGAGAATTAAATTACTGATGACCTTGTGAAAGTGCCACTGGGCAGCAAGGAAATCATAATGATTGAATTCTGCATATGGTTTAAGGGAGAGAAGTGTGAATCCAATACTACTGTTCTGAATTTAAACAAGGACAATTATGAAGGCATGAAAGCAGAGTTAAAAAGTGAACTGGCAATTTAGCTCAATGATCAAGTCAATAGAGATAAAGTGGCAAACATTAAAGATGGTATTCCAAAAAGCATAAATATATACATTCCAGTAAACAATAAAAAGTTATGAAGGATGGACTCAACATCGTGGTTAATTTAA